CTGAAAAATCAATAAGACAGCTTGTCTCTCTGTAACCAAACAACCCTCGCAGTGATCAGGACACGTGCATGACTGTGGATCTGTGCGATCATTTGTGCTCTAGCCTAACATTAGAGTCTTATTTAATCATCCACTTGTTGAAAAGTGTATTTTAAGCTACAGAGGCTGGGAAAAAAAGCCTTTGTAATAGATATAGTTTAGCATCTATGTTGTCTCAAAGTGATCGTATTTAGAAGACGGGATGTGTCATGTGATGCTCACTAACCAGGGGGTTGTGTGTGTCTGCATGTGTGTGTGTGGGAGGGAGAGAGAGACCGGTCATTAGATCGAACATGAGCCCAGTCTGAGTGACTGAGTGATGAGCTCGGTGTTTTTATTCCGGGCCAAAGCAGGCCTGGCCCAGGCTTAGATTTCACACACACACAATTTAGCCAATTCCCCGGAGAGAGACAAGAGAAAGAGGAAGACGGGGTGAGAGCATTTAGAGATGGATGGACCGATAGATAGAGGTGTGGCTTCATGTTTGTTTGGGGAAGAATGCTTTGTTTTTTTCATAATTTCTCAGTTCTGTCCCCACAGATACACGCAGAGATACTGGCTGTGTCAGCAGACGGGAAACTATAGCTGATACATAATTGATGAGTCCAGCCATTGATTACAAGTGATAAGTGGTATTGACAGGAGGTGTGAGGAGAAGAGAGGAAAAAAAAAGTGTCGATATGTAGGTTTATGTATGTGTGTGTGTTTTCCCAGTGGGCGGCAAACAGCTTTAGAATATGTAATGACCTCGGTAACACATCAGCTTACTGGACATTTTTAAAATGTTTACCTGTAATAACAGGAAACGCAGTGACTGCAAAAATTCCCCCCAAACTTTTTATTTTTTTTCTAAACTCAGCTAGTTTTGGTTTTTATTTATTGAGGTTTTCAAGTCTCAATGAGATTTCTGCCTCCACCCTGCCACAGTGGGGGATGGAGTTTCATTCATGGCGCGTACAATATTGGAAAGTAAAAGAAATGGCAAAAAGAAAAAATTCCGGAAATACACTGATTCACTTTTTCTACTGAGAGTTCTGTGAGACGATCAATGCTGCCATCATGTTTGTGAGTTAAGCACAGAGCTGGAGCGAGGACGTGATTAGCCTGACTGATGACGTTCTGTCTGCAGCCAAACAAATGAGATATAATGTGATGAGCTTCAGCGGTGATGGAGAGGAAGGCTAGCTTTAACCACACATCAGTTTTTATAGCTAACTGTCAGAAAGAAATAGATATATATTCCCCAAAGTGTTGAGCTTTTTTTTTTTTCTTTTCTTTGGAAAAATTCAGCACCAAATGTCTTTCAGAGTGTGAAATGCGGCAGAGAAAGGCTCTTGGGAGTTGACAATGTTAGAACTTGAGTTGAAAATTTGGGTTTATACCAGTTGGTTTTTGTTGAGCCAACTTCGCAAATACACGGAAAAGAGAGGAAAAAGGGAGAGCGACACTGCAGGAATATGTCAGCGAGTTTAGAGATAAGTTCAGAACTTTCGCAGACACTCATAAAATCTATGTTGGTAGCTAGCTAACAGCTAACACCTGGTCAGTCGGAAAAATTTGGCTGTTCGAAGTGAATAAAAACAGTTCAGCAGTCAAATTCACACAAATTACACGAGGTGAAGAACCAGCCAAGTCTAAATAAAGTAGTATTGGTAACAGCTATGCTGGCCAACTTGGCAAAATGTAGTTTTTACAAAAAAAAGGCTGAAAATTGTGAGATGCTAGCCGAGTGTTGGGGTGGGATTTGTCCCTCATGACGTAGAAAAGAACCAAAGCCCTGTGTTTAGCGTTTGCATGAGTTTATTTGAACCCAAACTACGATGTTTCCCGAAACCTAACCTAAGAAATTTTAGTGCCTCAACAAGCATTTTTGTTGCTTGAACAAAATGTCAGAAAATGGCGTCTGAAAATGAAAGTAAACAGCAAGTGAAAACGCCACAAAGCAGTTTTCCCCCCATGGGACTCAAACCCCAATCTTCCTGGGGGGAAAGTCTTGTGGTTTGCACCCCCTCCAGGCTCTTTTAGTCCTGACTATACTCCCACATGACCAGTTGCGGACACCACGGACGCATCATTGTTGTCATCAGGCTACTTTTCTAGTCCACTTGGAAGTCTGCTTGGAAGACTCTGTTGCATAAAAGTGCAGTAGGTGGTATCTAGGTAATCTGTAGTGAGGTCGTAGACACACCTTTTGGGCTTCCCATGCATGTGGGCAGACTCGTGGTTAGAAGTTGATGTCAGATAGACGAGAGCAGACCAACAGAAAGGGAAAATATACTCCTTGCCTTATACACACTTTGTTACTCTTTTTATTTGTAAAGTGAAAGAAATGTGTGTCATGGGACATGGATGCAGGTCAGTATGAAACAATAAGTGAAAAAAAAACAATGTAGTCATCTCACAATTTCACAGCCTTTATTGTGAAACTGATGCGTTTATGTGCTGTGGACCAACGGACGGGTCTGATCTGGGGTTTGGGCCAGTTTCCAAAGAACAATGACCACAGTGAGGCCTGCGTATTATCCAGATGGACTAACTTGGACTTTGTTTCTGGAAAGACACGCTGATGCTGCATTTAAGCTGAGTTATTTTAAAGTGTAATCACTTAATATTCTGTTCACATTCATTGTTTTCGGATGGAAGGATAAATCTCAGATGTGTCAGACTTTTGGAAAAAAAAAAAACTATCCCAAGAAAACATGCTTTTTGTAATTTGAGTGAATTCACCCATTTAAAGCTTTCAAGGCTGTACTTACTGTACTCTCTGGGAAATGCATTAAACAGCGTTACATTAAGTGAATCAGGGTGAATATCATTTTCGTAACTGGATGTATTTGAAACTCCTACATTCCCTGAACCTTGCTGATAGGTAGCTTTTATTCCTGCTCTGAGATAGGAGTGTGCGTGCAGAAAGAACGTGTGTGCGCCTCTCCGTTGGGTCCTGAAATCATATATTATTATACTATTATGTTCCATTTCTGTACGCCACTCAAAAGCCCATGAACTGAGGAAAGCAGTCTAAATGGTCTTTAGTTTCTCTGAATACACGCACGGGCTGGAGGCTTCCTCTGACCTTTTGCTGCACAGCACCTCTCCTCCACTGCCTCTGTCTCATCCCTCTCATTTAATCTATGTCTCCCTCACCTCGGCTCCGCTGTGCAGCGTCTCGTTCTCTGCTTCATTATACCGTGTGCACTATTTTCTCAGTGGCTTTTTTCTTCTTCTTTTTTTTTTTTTTCTCCCCCCGTCGCTCAGACACTGCTTTTGTGCGACTTTGCGCAGACACACGCAGATATGTGTGCGCATATACACACACGCTAATACAGCATGACATGCCTCCCTGCTGTCACGGTGTGCTGAGCTGAGGAGAACGGCTGGGATTCAGTTAGGGCTGGTGAACAGCGTGAGCGCGAGAAGAAGAGAAAGAGAGGGAAAAAGATAGGAAATGAGGAGGTTGGACCAATTTTACAGTCCCTTTGTTATACCTAGCAGCAGTATGGATACACAGAGGAGCTTGTAAACAGACACTTTCAACCCACGATTCAGTGATTAATCTTATTTGCATTCAGAAGAGCAAACTTTCTAGTACAACTAAATAGTTTTTTTTTTCCAGGTCACTGCTGCTACCTTATAAAAAAAATTGGAGTGGAAATGAAAAAGAAAATTGATGCAGTCAGTTTAAATTGTGTCAGGTCAACAACTCACGTGTCTGATCTGGGATCTGTGGATTGAAAGCAGAGGAAGGAAGGAAGGATAACCTGCGAGAGCCACAATGAGTGTGACTGAGCGAGAGAAGAAAGAAGAGAAGCAGCAGTCTCTGCAGATGGATGCTGATTAAATATTGATAGTCAGCCGTGTTGAAGGCTTGATTAGGACATGAGTGAGCCAAGCCTGAACAGGCCCACACACCTACACATGCACTAAGCAACGACACACACACACAGGTGGAGAACCTCGCTCCCAGAATCTGAGCAGGTTTTCATTATGCCTCCTGCTGGTCGACCTGCCACTTCTCCTCCTCACTTTTCACTCTCACCTTTGTGCATCCGTCCTCCACTTCCTCCTGTCACGCAGAGATCACACGCTGGAAACAACATGTGCAAATCAGAGTACAATGTATACGCTCATTATTCTGTTGCACTTTGTCCTTGGTGACATTCTTCAATTAAAGTGATAATCCAACAAAATCTTCAAAGTGTTAACTGTGGATTTCCATAGATTTTGAGTGAAAGGATCAAAATTCCTGCAACATCACATCGACTCTATGTCTTTGTGGCAAAATGTCACTGTTTGAAACATACTGAGGATACAAATGAACACCAATGTAGCTGGTTATTATGGTTTGAAGCTTTTGTTAACATTTCGATACCAAGCTGCGTACGTCATCGTAACACAACTTGACCAACGGCTCCCCTCACCTTATAGAACACAAACCTCAGATGTTTAACTGCCACTTTTCAAGGCCCTACGCCGTGTGGGAGGTTTCAGCTCAAAAGAGAGGTTTTGGATTGGATGTGGAGTATCACTTTAATGTCGAAAAAAGTCAAATTTAACTGTACGCTATAGTTTCTCCTCCGCATCTTGATGCCGTTTCACTGACTGACTTTGTGTCCCCTTGAACCGTAGCAGCTGCAGCACAACCACAGTAATCTCAAAGTTGAAATTATAGGTTTACCCACTCCTTGTGATTCCGCTGCTAGTGTACTCCAACAAAACAAAAGACACCCTTGTAACGAAACATGAAAACATCTTGGGAGTTTTTCTGCGGAAGGGTTCACAATGCAATGTTATGCGATACATTCCAGACAGAAACACACCACACCATAACTGGAAAGTATTATCCTTTCTGTAAGGGAAACGGGGGATTGAGAAATGAAATGCCTCAAAAAGAAAAAAAAAAAAGAAAAAAAATTGTCTGTTTGTGTGTTAACTTGTTTGTTCTTTGTCTGCCTGTGTTGCAGTGACATTGCTGGACTCCATGTCAGCCTTGGCCGACCTGGGCTGGGAGGCTTATCCTAATGAGGGGGTGAGTATCTGCAGTGCAACACACACACACACACACACACAAACAAACACAAATCATCCTCTCCTCTCACTGTAGCTGACACCAAAAGTCTAAATGTGATCAGAACTAGCAGGTTGTGTTGACATGCTTTATTTTCGGGGGGGGAACAGGAAAGAATTGTGAGTTAGCAGCCGCACTGGAGTGTGTGTTTTAGAGAGCACTGGGTTCTTCAGCGCTCATTGCTAAATCGGGAGTCTGCAGGGGGAATTTACAAATTATTTCTGCTGTGCTGAAAACGCTGTGCCACTGGAGCTTCCATTTATTACGGGTTGCGATTTTTTTTTTTTTGGGGGGGTGGGATGGAGTGAAGGGACATGGTGGAGGAGTAAATATTCTTATGTAAGAGGAGATGTCGTATTCTTGCTGGTGTTATTTGCATGTGTGTCAGGGGGTGAGGGAGGGAGGGAGGGTGGCGGAGGAGGGGGGAGGGTTGCATAACCAGCCTTTTGCAGGTATAGGGACCGAGGGAGTCTGGAGTGCAGCCGCCATGAATCAGAAAATGACAACAGAGATGTGAGGAGAGGAAGAGGGTGAGAGCGCAGAGAGGAAGGACGACAAAGTGCATTGAATAGAGCGGGTTCTGTATGTCACTGTAGTGCAGGAGCTGTTGAATGGCGCTGAATTAATTCTATTTCCTCTTGAGTCACACTTCTCTCTCTCTCTTCCCTCTCCACCATTCAGCATCAGTGTGTTAAATTGCAGGATGCCACACGCGGTTTCATGGTTGTGTGCAGCAGCGAGGCAGCTCAAGTGAGCGGAGCTGAGCAAAGGTTGTTTTCTCAAGCAATCAAGGGTATCAAGTTCACTTAATTGAAATGCTCCGATTGTGTGGTCATATTCTGGATGTTTGTGTACGTTTTTTTTTTTTTTCCACTTAGGTTCTTATAGAAGAGTAGAATGTATTCCATCTGTGGCTCAGCTAATAGGTTCGATATAATTCCGAAAAGCCAGCGTACGCAAGTTACTGTTACTGAATTAATGGTTCCAGTGGCTTCATCGTGGTCCGGGAGAGCACACGTGTTGTGAGTTTACCCTCAAAGAAATGCGTTGGCTGGAAAGTAAAGAATGTTTAATGAACTCCATCCTGAACGTCTTTATTCATGGACTGTCGACACGGTGTGGACCAGGCGTCTCCTCCATGAGTTTGTACAGAAATTTAGAGGAAATTGGTTCTATGGGCCTCCACACATCTCTTCTGTCAAATATGTCCTATAAATAGATCTTTAATAATATCAACTGAGGCAGTGGAAAAGTAGAACTGTCTAAGTGTCCTTACTTTATCCCTCTCAGCATCAGAAAGTTGCATGTTAACTTTAAAACATATTGCCAAAGTTAGACCATTTATCAAAGCCCAAAGCTGTAAAAACAAAAAGAGTGGTCAGATTTTCAACAATCCGACAGTTCAGCTTCTCATTTTTAAAGTGCTGTTCTGTCAGGAAACCAAATCTGAGCGCAAAATCAGGATTTAAAAGAAAAAAAATAAAGAAATTGCTTCATTCTAGTGGTCTCATTTCAACATGTGCAAAAAAAAATAGACCATCTGCAAAAAACAGATTCTGTGAAAAACTAAAAATTCTACGACCCTTGTGTGAAACCATTAGTGGCTTAGTTGCAACTGACAGTCACGAGACATAAGTCTGTTCATTTAAAGTAGGTCAAACTTCGGGCTGTGTTTATGCAAAACAGAGAGGATACAAATATGGAAACCAATTTAAAAGAAATGTAAGGAGTAAAATATCTACATCATGTAGAGACACCATTTTTGTGGGCACTTGGAGAAATGTATGCTATTTTCTTTTTTTTTTTTTAATTTTATTAGGTGAATAATGAAAGAAATGTGACTTTATTCTTTGCTTTCTTACGTACGACTTTATATTTCAGTGAATACAAATGTAACAAAAGCAACAAATGCCCAGTGACTGCTTGCGGTTCAGAGGGTGAAGGCCGGACACAAGCTCTATCAGCAGCTTTATCTCACCAAGGAAATAATGTAATTGGTTAAAGCCAGTGAAGACTTTGCATGAATGGTCTTGGCCGCTGGGCTAAACGGATTCGTATGTTTGTCATTATGCATGTTTTCGTGGACATGCTTCGGTGGCACAGCTGAGGCCTTCACTCTGTGTTCTTATGCAGAGGACAGACAGGTCCGCGCTATTATTGTGAAAATGCATCGTATTTGTCACAGAGTTAGCAGAGCTTTTGTTTTTGCGATGCTACCTTGCCGCCTTGCCTGAGGAAAACCACCGTGCCAGCATGACTTGAATCTTCACAGCAGCTCGCGGCTCAGCTCGGCCGAGTATCCCAACCTGTATCAAAAAACAGCAGTGGACGATTATTCTTACAGGATGCAGTTTGGCTTTGTGAAGCAAAATGGTTTTTGCGAAAGGGGTTGTGCTACTACTTAACATTCCTGGATAGACAACACTTTTTGTATCATAATTAAAAAATAAGTAAATGTGCCTCTTTTTGTGGCATGAAATAATCCAGGAAATTTCTAGTTAAATCTCACCAGGTGGCATAGAGCATAAAATGCGGTACAGCGACTAGCGGAGGATGCCAATAACGTTGGCAACAGCTCTGTTTACTACGGTTTTCCATATGTACCAGAATGAATGTGGTAGTGTAGTAATTTATCAATGCTACGTGGATGTAATGTAAAGGAGGAGATATGGGATAGAGAGTGATCGCAGGGTGATATACTGCGAGAGGAAAGGTGCCAGGGCTGTGAGAAGGTCTTATGTTTCATATCAAAGGATTATCTAGTTGACCTTCCAACTTTAAACCTGGGGATTACTCTTGGTGAGAGGCAATTCCCACCAATATGAGACCACTGTCTACCTGAATTAGTCCAAAATGACACTTGACCCCCATAGGTCAGCCTTAATCCAAGCCGTGCAGGGCCGGATGTGGCAGAGACTGAGTGGAGCGACCCACTTCTGTCACCAGACAGGGGTGTTCCTCGTGAGGGACATAAAACAGATCTGTCTTAATGATGTTTGAAAATGGGAGGCCCCGAAGCCTCTCGACTCCCCCAGAGGCTCCACAGCCCTCACTGCCTCCCCTCTCCCCACCTCCTGCCGCCGTCTCTTCCCATCTTCCATCTCTGTTTCTACCCTACCTACTCGTTCTCCGTCCCTCCCTCACTAAGCCCGAGCTTGTTTCAGAATTTGGAGGCCAATTATGTCCTCGTAGGTGTACCCATCAGATGATTGCAGAAGGAGGGATATTATGTTAAGCTGGTGAATGGTTGAACTTAAGCCCCGATCCGACGTCTCTGCTTCACTTCAAAGCAATCAAGCGGGCTCCGCGCTGATTGGCCAAGGTGATTGAGGGTTCAGGGAGGAGGGTTTCTTTCTGAATGTTAATTAGTGCTCAGACTGAACCAACACAGCCCTGGCAACAGTTACAGCTACGTGTGTGTTGAACGAGAAACTCTCGAGCTTTATCCAAACATTCTCCTGCTTGTATTTTCAGTAGGTTTTCTCTCGAGCGGCTGCCGTATCATTAGCAGATATGGAGGCAAACAGGTTGTTTTCATGTTCCTAAACACACCTGTGCTTTACAGCAGGCAAAAGTGACAATGAACAGACCCGCCAACTGGGGAAATAAGTCACTCACCAGGAAGTGGCAGTAATCCAGCCACTCCAAACTTTGCCTACAAAGAAATAAACAAAGACATCATAAAGCCCTCTTTATCCCTCAATGACTATTCCCATAAATGCTTTAATCACCACTCCCTGGGGACTCAGCTTTGTGTGTTTGTGTGGGTGGGTGTGTGCGACCGTCCTGTGATGTCCGACTGGTCTCGGCTCTGCACAGATGGGTCTATTTAGCTGCCAGGCGTGCCTGTAATTTACCAACATTCATTCCCCCTCTCTCCTCTTTTCTCTCCCTTTCTCCCTCAGTCTTGGGTTTTGTTCTCCTAATTGAATTGAGTGAATTTGATCACAATGACTCTCAGCCGCTGTGTGTGTGTACATTGTCGAACAAGGCTCCAGTGATACATCCTTTATACTGTATGTAATCTTCCAACCCCGAAACTGGCTGTCAGGGACGTTTGTGTCAGCTGATTGTCAGCTTAAACAATCTTCTGCCTCCCCGTCTTTGTCTCCTGTTTGTTCCTGCTTCTTTCTCTCAATTTCTCTGTTGAAGGACTGTTGGGTCGGGATCAAGAAAGAGCTGGTTTTGTTCGAGCTCCAATTCATACACAGTAGACGTCTCAGCCGAAGCTGTGCAGATTAAAAGCATCTGAGTGTGCGAGAGAGCTGCAGAGTGTGCGCAAGTCTGTGTGAGAATGTGTGTTTTTATGTGGATCTGTTTTAGTGCTCAGGACTCGGAGGTGAAATGCGTCAAGCTTTTGCCGGGTTGTTGGGCTGTCACATCAGATTAACCTCAAGAATTCAACCTTAGCTTGGACTCTGCTTGTCTGAAAGTTTCTCTTTGCGTTTTTGCTTCTTTCTTTGCTGTTTACCGGCCCGTCTTTTCTTTCTGTCTTTGTATTTTGGGACACTTTACAGTTGACTGGTAGTTGCTTTGGTGGCTCAGTTCATGCAGGTGTAAGTGCATGTGTGTGTGTACTATGTGTTCACAACATGCGTAGATGTATTATGTGTTTACATGGTTGGGCAACTGTAAGGGGATATGTGCTCATCAGTCTGGAGCTTAAAGCTTCAGTCTGAAGATGATGACAGGAGCTAAGAACAAAGATGGTGGTCTTCTCATCCCTCGCCACAAACTAGAACTCACCCAGTTTGTGTGTGTGTGTGGGTTTCACTGTGTGTGTGTCCAAGAAAATCCAGTTAGCTTCCTCTTGAATGGATCAGATATCTTGAGACACTGAAACCACATTGGTTTATTTTCCTTCTCTTTAAGGAATAGAAATGTTCTTTCTCCTTGTGTGTGTGTGTGTGTGTTAATGGTATATTCATGTGTGTACGCCCGTCGACGGGAGTGTGTAGATAGAAATGTTTTCCTGCTCATGCGAGAAGTGTTCTCAATTACAGCCTTAGTCAGAAGTGGAAACAGATGGTAGCAGATGACGGGATACAAAGTAGCTCTGTCCTACCTACTCGTTCTCTCTCTCGTTCTCCGTCCTTCTCTCTGTGTTTCTCTCTCATGCACACACTTCTACCTCTTAAGTGCTAAATCGCGCATTCATTTTAGAAAAACACGCACATGTGCAGCACCGGACAAAGACAGTCCTTCAGTCATCTTGACACAGATCATCACTCATATTCACTGAGACATGAAAACACAACACGCAGGCTTAGTGTTGGTTTGCACTAAACCACAGTTCACTGAACTCGGGCCCAGTTTCCCCATAGCCAATCTTTGAACTGAGATCTTCTTTGTCCATTGAGTAACTCTGAAATGAGATGATCTTACAGCCGAGTGTTGCTGTTCTCGAGTTGGCCCTGTGCTGCCGAACATCACTCCACCTCGGCTTCACATCCACTCTGTCTTTGATTTGAAATTTATGTTTAAGATTTCCCCTACAAAGCAAATGTTTCTCCACAGCTCACACCCCTTCTATTTCCCTTTCTCCGTCTCCTCATCACTCATCCATTTACCCCCCCCCCCTTACATTCGCTCCATCTGCTCACTTTCCCGTCTTATTTATTACTTTTTTCACACCTCTCTTTGTTTTATTAGCTATTTTCTTACCTCCTTCCCATCTATTCTCCTTCCTCTCACCCTCTCAACTTTCTACTACTTTCCTTCCTTGCATCCTAGCTCTTGCTACATCTGATAAATATGGAATCTGCCTCTAAACCTTCATATTTGAGACAACAAAGTAACATCCAATTTCTCTCATCCTCAGTGGGAGGAGATCAGCGTGATGGATGAGAGGAACACCCCGATGAGGACCTACCAGGTGTGTAACGTCATGGAAGCCAACCAAAACAACTGGCTGAGGACGCGTCACATCAGCCGGGAGGGAGCGCAGCGCGTCTACATCGAGATCAAGTTCACCCTGAGAGACTGTAACAGCCTGCCCGGCGTTCCCGGCACCTGCAAAGAGGTCTGCACCAATATATATACTGTTAATCACACATGAGCAAGCGTTTTAACTCACGGGCAGCATGGGGGCTTAGTGGTGAGATAACAAATATCCTTGCAACTAGTATGTGTGTGTGTGTGTGTGTGTGTGTTAAAGCCCTCCTGTTGCATTTGTGCTGCTTGTTTGTTCCCTCGTGGTGAGCAAAACATTGAATTTTAGCTCCATGGGTGCAGTTGTGTAGCTTTCTGTTCTTTGAAATATTTGGAATGAAGCAAGTAACAAACAAACAAAAAAGAACATGTTCCTTTCTTTTAGAGATCAATAGCACAGGAGTAAGTTAGATTTGAAACACGGTGGAAGTAGAAATTGTCTGGAGCGTGAGGTTTATTGTTGGAAAATCATTTTCTGTAGTCCAAGTAAATATCCTCTGACTACGCGCTGCTCTTTGCCTTTTAAATAAAACTGAGTTAACCAGAATTTAATCAGTATTTTCTTTCAATTTGTCGATGTGCAACTTTTTTTTAAAGTTTGAAACGTATTGAATTTCTAATGAAAATGTTAGATTAATTGGAACACACAGTAGGACATTTACACATTTAAACAAACTCACTGTAATGGTGATTTATTGTGTTGTGAATTGCATGAAACCAGTTTACACCAGCGAATGAACATCAAATAAGTAATAAGGAAAGGTTTGTTTACCCACATTTTTGCAGAATATTGGATTAGAGTATCACAGCATTCTGCCTGATTTGCTGTTTTCAACATATTTACTCATGTCAGATCTGTCTGAAGGTAGTAGGTATTGTTTGTGACATCATTGTAGCTCGTATGAAATCAGCGCGTCTTTTGAACGTTATAATCCATTACACTTCAGGGCAGCAAAAGGCCACTTTAATTATCTGTTCTATTATTTTATTTTTCTTTTTTAATACACGCCCAACGCAAACACAGACTGAAGCGCACTTTGATGGATAATAAATAGATGAAAAGACAAGAGACGGGAAAAGAATGACATGAGAGGATCGCTGCAGAATGAAACAAATGACGCCCTCGAGGCTTTTGTGGCTCCTCATATATTTTACCATCTGATATATTTTTTTTTTTTTACTGTCCCCCATTCTCTTATATCAGCCCGATAACGCTGCTCCTCTGTTCATTTCTGTCTACTTTGTCCGTCCCCTGCACCCTTTTCACTCTCATTACATCTGCAGAATGAGTAGTGGGCTTAACGTGACACGATACAGAGCTGCACGTTCACGAAACTGCAGACAGTGTTGCTGACTGGTCAGCCGGACAGATGGACTGAGAATTGAAGAGAAGCAGCTACAGAGCAATGGAAGCTTTGTTAACATTTCCCTATTGGATGACCCCCTCTTACATTTTGTCTGTTTTGCTTAGCTGTTATTCTGTTTTGTCTGATAACTAGCATTTGTAACTGATGGAAACGATTTGTTTTGCAGACGTTCAACATGTACTACTATGAATCCAACAATGCCAACCTGTGGTTTATCAAGGAGAGCCAGTACGCCAAGATTGATACGATTGCTGCAGATGAAAGCTTTACACAGGTATGAACACGTGCACGGAAACACTCAAAGCTTCAGCACACACAGGGACATAATCTATGCAATATACAGCTGAAATGAGTTCCCCCCTTGTGCAATATCACCTGAACGTCAAATTATTCAAAATTGTCTTAATAATTGCATTATTTCTAAGCTGTACCTATATAAGATTATAAACGAACAGTTTACATTTACTCTATTAACAATACAGGCCCCACAGTGTCAGCTCAATGCAACAACAGTTAGCGATTAAAGTCTTTTATATATACATATAGACGTTATATGTCCACCTTTTTTTTGTCAATCCTCCTCAGCATTGAGGATACTAAATCTGCAGAGACCCGCTTGCCTTTCTTCAGACACTGTTATTTTCAGCTGCTCTGTGCTGGAGGGGTTGTATTGCTCTACCTTTCTCTTTAAAATACCACAAAGGGTGCTATATTGGATTCAAGTTCGGTGACAGGCATGGTCAGGTCAAAGTTTTCACTTTTTTTTTCCTCTTGAGAAACTCTCGTGTGCTTTGGGTGGTTATCATGCTGGGATATTCCTCTTCTGCCAAGTTTCTGCAGACTGGAAGTCATCTTGTCAGCCAGTATTTCGGTATATCCACTGGTATTCATGGTGCCCTCTATAAATGTCATCTCCTCAATACTTTTTGCACTCATGCAGCCACATATCATCCCACTCCCGTCTCTGTGCCTCATTATCAGGACTATGCGTTCACTGCGGAAGTCGTGACCTGCTTCACGCCAAACATGCTGGACTCCAACAAATTCATCTCAACCATCATTTGTCCACAAAATGTGCTCCCAATATTCATCAGACTTCCTTCATGCAATCCACGCAAGTGTCATCTTGCAGTTTATTGCCGAAGAGCAGGCAAGAATTTTTTCTTCCATGCCGTGCACAGAGGTCATACACACTGTCTGAGCTGTGACAGAAACTCCAGTTTATGCTGATCATCCCTGTGCCAAGTCTGAAGCACTCACATGTTTGTTTTTCAGAGATGGATTGTGAAACTAGCTCACTGTCGCAGCATTTTAGGAGGACGACCACTGCAGCTCTAATTAGTGGTTCTATGACTTGTTCTATACCTCTGAATTACCACTGATTTTTAGTTTCTTACTGATGTGGAATCACACAATCAGATATTTTTTTATTCCTCTGGCAGTTCTTTTTCATAATAAGCCATGATGCAGACATGATGTTCAAATGCCATGTTTTAACCATGTTCATACAGCGAGGCTGACTGGATATCACAGCTGTACTCAAATTAGTCTCGTGATCTCAGGTCTATTTGCTTCTGTTGCATTTGCAGAGTTTCTACTTTAGAGCCTTAATTGTTTTCGATTGTTCCCAAGACAAAATACTCCACTTGTCTATTTAAAAAGGAAAAGCAATTATTTAGAAGTGATGCAATTTGAGGTCTTTTGACATTCTAGTGATTTTCCAGAGGGCTGTATACATTTCTGTTGCATACTGTATATGTATTATGTAAACATACATTGTTAAACATTCACGTGTGTATTGTGTACATATGCACAACATAAAAATGGGATAATGCAATAAATTAATAAAGATTCCCAAACTACCCTGTAAGTATCACTGAACTGAATGTGATCAAACTTTGGTGATATAACATTTTGTTGCTTGAGTTCAATTAATACTCTGCATTATACTTCTTTACAAGAACAAATAAAAGTCTTTTACAAAGTCTGTCCCCCTGCAGCTGTATGCTGGTTTTCTAATACTGTCTCCCTGAACAAATTCTAAACTGGTCTTACCATCAAGCTCAATCTGTTTGTGTATGGTCTTATGATTATCTTAACAGAAGAGTGACATTCCAAAATTAGATCTTCACCATTTCCCACAAACTAAATTAAATCTGGGTTTGAATGTGGGTTATGTTTAAAATTAGTTTAGTTTCTTGCAAAATTGTCAGGACAGTGTTATTTTTGTTTAGGAAATGCAGTTGCTTTCAAGTTTGAATGCTCTCCTTAAATGAACTAACACATCAAAATGTGCCTTCTCTGCAGGTGGATGTTGGCGATCGTGTGATGAAGCTGAACACGGAGGTTCGGGACATCAGCAACCTGAGTAAAAAGGGGTTCTACCTGGCCTTCCAGGACCTGGGTGCCTGTATCGCTCTGGTGTCAGTCAGAGTCTTCTACAAGAAGTGTCCGCTCACTGTGCTTAACTTGGCCCAGTTCCCCGACACAATAACGGGCGGGGACACGGCGCTGGTCGAGGTCCACGGTCTGTGTGTGAATGCCTCCGAGGAGTTTGAAGCTCCCAAGATGTACTGCAGTGCAGACGGAGGCTGGCTGGTTCCCATCGGGAGGTGTGTGTGCAAACCGGGCTTCGAGGAGAACAAGGACGTCTGCCAACGTGAGTGGGGTGGGGGTCTGGAGGCATGTGTGGGACAGAGTTGTAAGTGTGTGTGTGTGTTTGTGTGGGAGAGAGACAGACAGAAAAAGGACAAATAAGGAGAGCGAGAAGTGTGTGTGGCGCTGTCATGTTGTAATGCTTGTGTGTACTGAAAGTAACTTTTGTGCTTTCTCAAATGGACAAAAATGTGTCAAAGTATGTGAGAACCCTCAACAAGAGAAAAGAAAAGTGCAGACAAAGACAAAACCGACGACTTCTGTCCACTCTGCTCTATACCACATGAATGTGTTGTAGAGTGAATACCTAAGCATGTGTGTGCATGTAGGCCTGTCTCACTGGAACATGTGAGTGCAGAGGCATTTCAGTGAATTCAGCTGTGAAACTGAGGATAAAATGACAATGATTGTGTATTTATAGTAGGTCACGGATGCACTTTGTGTGTATGCGTGTGTGTCATCTTTCCCAACACTGCAAGGACAGCTCGTGCACAGGAAAGGGTATGAGTTGCTTTGGGGCATCTCCTCTTTTTTTTTTATTATTATTTTTGTCTGTGAATGTGTGTGTGTGTGTGTCTGTCAAAGCTGAATATCTCATGTTCCCCTGTGCGTAGAGGAGAGCAGTATGAGTGTGTGTGAGAAAGTGCTTATTGATGTGTGTTGCGTTGTAGGAGGAGAGGAAAAGGTATGCCTTAGGAAGCAGATTATTGAGTTGTACAGCTCCCCAGATGGTGTGTGTGTGTGTGCAGTATGTGTGCGTTTGTGTGTGTACTGTGCATGCATGCATCTGGGTGAGCAAGTTGTATTAGGCTCACGGCGTCACCTGTCCCTACGGCCTCACTTCCTCCCCAAAAAGAAAATGGAATCATAGATATTCATCGCCGCAGACTTGAAATCGGTGCACATAATGCAATTTCAGTTCTTTTGGAGAAGCAGCAGCCAAGATGCCCAGAAAACTTGGCAGTTGGGCCTTGGAGACAAGGGAATAAGAACAAGCTGTACTCTGCAGTTTGCAGACTGGTAATGTGCACAGATTGTGGCAGAACTCTGGCTGCATCTCAATCATGAAACACAGACTGTTGAGCTATACGTCTGTCTTGCAAACTGACAAGCTGTGGTTACTTGACAGGTGATCTCACTGACAGGTTTTCAAATGATTTCGCTGCCTACACTATGCAGGTTGCATTTTCTGTATTAAAACCTTATTTAAGTCGGTCTGACGCAGCAGAGCGGCTGACCCCAGTGATCTCTATGACCTCATCAGTCTGCTCCCTGAGTCTTATCACTCCGGAGAGAATAAACAGAGCAATGTAAGAGCGTTTAACAAGCTGGCTTTAACTCACCAACAGTATGCGTGTGTATGCATGTGTGTGTGTGTGTGTGTGTGTGTGTGCTGTTGTCGTGTGCAGAGGTAACGATGGAGTTTCATTGACAGTCTGAGGTCAGAGGTCAGGAAATATATGTGTCCCTTGTCTAATAAGTCATGGTCACGACAAACATGGTGTAGAAAGGACGGGAAAACAGGTGTCCAGCGTCTTTAACACAGGCACAAGGGGTTCCAATTCATCTGAAGGTGTATTTTCTGGTGTAGTAATTATTATGGAAGCAATCAAAAACATTTTTTAATAGATTTGAATTCCTTTGTGATGAACTGAAGCTGCTCCGCCGCAGGGATGTCTGCACCACCTACTCAGTATTAGGAAAAACATTTTTGTGGGATCTTGGGAAGGATTTGCATAGCAATGAAATTTCCTCCTCATACAGCAGGAGAATCTGCTGTCCCACGTATGACAGCCAAACACATCTCATGTTTGTTTGCTGCCTGCGAAACAATGCCAGATTCACACTCTAGAAAACCAGCTTTCTCCTGTTTAAAATGACTTTGCAGCCCGTGCTGTTTTCGCCTCTGTTTTGATATTGTTTCGCCTCCCTTGTTAGAATTCACTTAGCCGGCTAATGCAACTACATCCGTAATCAGCTTCATTTTAACAGGCAGATTCGTGAAAAACATGAGAGGACACAGAGAAGTACAACAACACGGCGCGTTGTGCTTTAATGTGTCCCTGAGAGAACAAGGGCCAGGCTTTTAAAGAGTCCTCTTAGCGCTCGGCATCAGCTCCAAACAAAAGGTTCCTGCCCTGACACAGTCTGAGGTCTTCCATAGGGAAAACACACTCCGCTAATGCATTTAAATCATCCTCTCTCGCTCGCTGTCACACAAAGAGATGAAGGGGTGAGAGATGGAGAGAGAGAAAGAGAGCCACAAAAAGGACTGGAGGGGAATTTGTAATTGTCATCATTGTGCAGGTGAGCAAGTCATTTAATGGACGCCTTGAATTCTCTTCCTCTTGTTCTTTCAGCGTTGTGCTTGTTTTCTGCCATTTAGCTGCTCCGATGCTCACTGTTGTCTTCTAATACTCTGTGTGAATCTTTTCCTGCTCTTTGGGCCTCTCATTCCTCTTCTTTTTGTCTCTGTGTCACTCTCCCTCTCTCTTCTGCCTCCCATTCTCTCGGTGTCTCTCTCTCTCGGTGTGAAGCGCTAATGGAATCATTACTAGCCTCTCTGTGTTAGACAAACACCAGACACCTCCAATTACAGCCTTTTTTTTCCACAATCTCTGGCTCTTTCCCCTCCCCTCTGCTATTTTCTAACCTTGCTCTGGTGTCTGCTTCTATAATGGGACTGTTCTCCACCTCTCGCACTCGACCAGCCACCCATTTCGCTCCTCGCCCATCTCTGCTGGTATTGTCTTCCTTTTTTCACCTCACCATTTTTCTTTCTGTCTCCCTTCTCCTCCTCCTGGCAGCCCTTATCTCCTCTGTCTGCACTCGTTAAACATTTATAGATCATGGGTTCATCTTTCTCCTTTTCCCTTTTCCAACTCAGTGCTTCTTATTTCCTAAAGGAAGCCTGTTTAAATGTGTATGTATGTTTTCATGTTGTTATTGGTCGACTCCGGACTGGAATAAACCCGGTCAACTATTTTATGGCAGCGGGGGAAGTTGCTTACAGAGAATGAGAGACGCTTTTCTTCCAGTATAAACAGAGTGATTATCAACAGACGCCGAAACAAGATATAATCGGTTTTATAGGTAATGAATCAGTGAGTAACAAAAACTCATGTGCTCGACTAGTGATGGCGGCGCACATGGACGCAGCGTCCCCTTCAGGAGACAGCGAGAGTGAACGTTTAGTGTCTTGCCTGTACTGCTATGTATGTACAGCAAAATGACAATAAACTTGATTTGATTGATTAGGTTGAGACAGAAACTGTCATCTAATGTGACAATGACGACATACTGGTTCTTCTTATTGCCCAATAATCTTATTAAAATGGCCCAAAACTAATAAAATTCTTTAAAAAGAGGTCACAAATCTATAATTTTACATGTTCAGTATGCTCCCTATAATTTGGCTGGTAGCAATATCCTGGAAAGAAACTAATTTGATAAAAGAAATCGTGCATATTCAACACTTTAAGTCTTTCATTTGTGTTTCTAGATGAAAACAAGAAATTATATTCATAGCAGGAGTGAGTTTTTAGAGGAGTTATCCCACTGCCATAACCCTACTGAACAGCTGAGCCACTCCAAGCCACAACTGCTATTTGCACTTCCATTTTGCACTAATGTACATACCTTTTTCTACTAGATGTGTAAATTCTTGTATATATTTGTCTTATTATCTTGTTTTATTTTTTATTAATATTTATTTTATTTTATTCTTTTCTTTCTTTAGTTATTTTACTTTATTTTATTTTAATTTTCCTATTTCTATTATTCGTGCAAATTCCTAGGGCGACACCAACAGCTGAAACCAAATTCCTTGTATGTTGTGTATGTACTTGGCCATTAAAGCTGAGTCTGATTCTGATTCTGAAAGAACTCAAAATTTTATTCCATATAAATACCAGTTGGAATCTTTATTGATTGAACTGTATGTCTGTAATTTTCAGCTACATAGAAAGACAAATTGTGCATGTACAGCCTACCGGATGTGCTCTGACTAAAAGAAATCTTCATGTTGCAACGGAGATGGGACTTTTATAAATAAATGTCAAACAATGCCGATTAAGCTTGTCAGTGCCAGGTAAATCTGTTTGTATTTCCTAGTTCAGTTTCTATACTATCTTTCTATAGTTTACAGGAGTTTTCTGTGGTGACTTTCCTGCATTGGTGCACCAGTGGTAATTACTTCAACCAGAGCTGCATACTGGTGCAACTGTAGCGACCGAAACAGAGCAGGCTACAGCAACTATGATGGAAAAACCTAGAAAGCATCCAACAGAATAGTTGCTGTTCAGAGAAAGGATTGCAGCGTTAAAAAAAAAGGAAGCAATAGACATTCGTCATAAGCCTGCATGGACACGGTTTTACTCTGAAAGAAACAATTGGAAGAAAACCAACTGTCTTTTTCAGAACCATTCTTTAGATGTTACATATTGGTTTGGTTTAGGATAAATGACAAGTAAACTCTGGTGCCTGCAAAATATGTTATCAGTGCTGTAGTGTCACAAACATTAGTTATTAGTTGAGGACTGTTCTTTAGAGCAGATTAAGAAAAAAAAAGGTTCTTCAGAACATGTAGGCAGGAATCAGTGCTCGGCATGCTTTCTATCAGTTCATCATTCCTTTTGATCTCCTCATGGATACTTTTTGTGATAAAGAATAATACAGAATGTCAGTGTTTAACCCATGTTTTATTTCATTCACATGTGCCTCCATGTTATTCCATTCACTTTTGTGTACTGAGCCGTGCACTAAACACACTGTTGCTCCGATGGCCACGACTCCTCTGCTCAGTCCCATGAAATCACACTCATCTGCCTTGTCACCAGTGCAGTTGCATAATCTCTCTCTCTCTCTCTCTCCTCCTCTCTGTTATTCAAACACATACTCTCTCTCCCGCCCTCTCTGCCTCTCTGTCACTTTGCACACCCTTGTCACTTCTGCTCCATCTCCCTCTCCCCCATGCTGAGGCCTCTGTCTGTGCAGCCCAAGCCC